TATATATTCAGCTACTAGATAGTCAAGTCTAATGATGTTGGTGGTTGAAAAGCTTCAAAATATTATTAGAAGCGGCAAAAATTCGTCGCTCGGTGGTATTCGTCGCTCGGTGGTTGATTACGTTAATGGTGGTGCGCTTACATCGGGCTGTGCGACGCCCTGTGCTGGAAACGCGACTGAGGTCTGTGGAGGGTCGAATGCCCTGTGCATGTACTATCTCTTCCAGTAGGTCTATCGATTGATGCGGAACTAAGACGTAGCTAGTAGTTGTGCAAGGACTCTTTCGGAATAGAAATGCTTTGTATGAAAATGCTTTGTTCATCATAAAATTAAAAGTAAAAAAATAAAAAGCAAGGGAAAAAGATATTGGCGCTACCCGGAATCGAACCGGGGCTGACACGGCCACAACGTGGCGTCCTACCCCTAGACCATAGCACCTTTGATGTTATCTCCTTCGTAATCATGTTCTATAGAGCAGGATATCTTTTACATATGAAAAGCATTATTCCATATCAGACGGTGACGGTGAATCACACTCATGTTTAGTCTTATCCGTTTGGGTTCACTAATTCGAAGTAAACTTTTGGGACAGTCGCTAAACTGGACGCTCTCGAGGATGGCAGGGGCATGCTAAAGCATACTTTGCAAGGCAGCAGAAGTCGGCGAATACCAGCGATCATTAAGAGAGTGAATACAAAGACTGTACCTCGCGTAAGCACCTAATTCATGGAAAAGAAACTTCAAAAGCTGAGTAGCAACTAGGTCGACAAAACCGTTCAAGTCACTGGGTTGTGATTAGGTAGAATGTGATAGTTATATGATCCACTGATATTGTACCCTCTGCGTCATCTGTCTGGTTGTTAATAGACTAGCAGCCAGCCTCCTGAAACTGTGATGTCCATAAAGCTGCCTCCTTGCGTGTCTGCAAATGAAAAGGGATGACTTTGCTGCCTTTGGGACTTACTATGTCCAACTCTTGTTGAACCTTCTAATCAAGTCCGACTACAAAGCCTCTAATTGCGCAGACGCCATGTCCAACATCGCTGAACTTCATGAGCAGATATTCGAAAGGAAGGAGGCACAGCGAACTGTTAGTATCAAAGTGCATACAGAAAAGCTGGATTCTCAAGACTACCGTGTCTCAACATACAAAATTGTCAACGAATGGAGCTATACAGAAAAGCCTTGGAGACTGCTCTCAGACTCCAACCCCCATCCTTTCTGCAGCAGGTTGGCAACCCTGGTGGTATCCGTTACTCCTCCGTACGTTGCCAACGCCCGGAATTTCGTTTCGAGTTCGGCTCTACCAAAGACTTAGCATTGCTCTCTATCAACCTGTAAATGACATACCTTGTCAATGAATTCTCAGGATCCCCCTTCAGATACTCGACTGACTCGGTGTACTTCCGACCATCCTTGCACACCACGACGACCGTCCCCTGCCACTGCCTGGGAAATTTCGCATCAATCTCCGGGTCTAACTCCATCGTTACTCGCTGCTGAAACTCTCGCAGCTCGGCGTCCTCCAGCGCCGCCTCCGTAAAGTCCGTGATCATCGCCTGGCCGTTTTTCGCTGCAACCGCAAGAACAAACCCCATGGAGAACTTGCTCTGATGGACCGTCTCGCCTCGACCCGTCAGCCCCAGGACATTGATCGCAGCCTGGTACGTCCTCGTCACCACCGAGTCCATCTCATGAAACTTGACCCGCTGCTTCTCCATCAAAGCCAGCAAAGCATCCACACTGGGATGCGTATGCCGACACGACGCATGCCACTTGAAACTCGACCCCAGAACCGCATAATCAGACCCTAAATCCTGGCTGATGGCTTTTGGGTTCTTCTCCCCAGGGACCAGCGCGGCGCCCATACCCCTGGAGCCCTCGAGGATGTCGCGCGGCCCAAGCAGGCCATCCCGCGCGCTGTAGGCGGCGAAGATGCCGTCGAAGCAGGCCTTGGCAGTGTGCACCTGCTTGGAGTGTGTGGCGTCGAGGAGGAATTGCCAGAGTCCCGCTGCCTGTGTGCCTGCTGTCCCGATGGCGGAGAGGGTCTGATTGACGTCGAGGTGTAGGAGACGAGCGACAGCGGCTGCGACGCCGACGACGCCTCCTGTGGCGGTGGAGTGGAACTTCTGCATGGTCGTCGTCTTAGCTTCCTCCACGAGAATCCGGAAATTGCAGGGATACCTCGTAGTGGCTCTTTCCCAGGTACTCGCCCGTCCGACAGCCGACTTCATAGCCTACTACGCAGGCGGTGATGAATTCTTTGCCGTCGGCGTTGATGTCCTGTGCGACGGCCAGCGCGGCGGGGAATATCACCGTCGCCTAATCATTAGCCTTTGAAGCGAGTGAAGAACTGATGAACATACAGGATGCATGATACTCCGGTTATGCAAGTCGTCCTGCTCAACCACATGTGATGAAGCGCCATTGATCAAGCTAGCAAAGGCGGGAGAAGACGTGAATCCCAGTGATCCGTCAATGACTTCACTTTTCCCCGAGGAAGGGCCCATCTGCGTCGCGAATCTCGCAATGGCAGCGACGGCTGGGTGATGTCGTCCGGCAATAGTGCATCCCAGCCAGTCGATGAAGAGCTCCTTGGTGCGCTGGATGACTTCTTTGGGGAGGTCGTTGTATTCGAGGCTGGCAGCCCATTGGGCCAGCCGTTCTGTACGTGTTTGGGAGGGCTTGGATTGAGTCATTTGAACTACATTCGAGTTACAATATTGTATCGCAATGCACATTCTTTCTATATGATCCAAATAGTAGCTAGACTGCGGGGCCTTAAGCTACCCCTCATCTCCGCTGCTCTGTATAGCCTCGGAGATCCTCTTCCGAGAGAAAAGTCAGCTATATGGCTCTTGAAGTTCCGAGATTCGCCAGATAGAGAAGGAAATGACATTTGATCGTTCAGAGAGTGGCCAACTTCCGAGTTACGTGGGGAATTCATGGTCACGGTGTCATATCTCACTTGTCTTAGCAATTGCCAGTCACAGCTTTGAGCTGCAGATTTCCAGAAGGACAATTGCACCAGTATTCAGACAATGGACCTCTTTCAGCAGCAAGGGAAGTCCAAATGGCAAACATCTGGTCCGTTTGAGGGAAGCTAATCATTTGTCTGAGTCTTCTGCTACTCTGCTCCATTGTCATGAGTAAACTTGTCTACAATGGAAAAAGTTATTAGCAAACATGGAAAAGCATAGAGAAACAAACAACTAGACTCTCTGGTTAGGTCTTTGTTCTCTAATAGTATTTAAGTCAGCTTCTCCCTGCAGACTCTTCCATCTTCTTCCTTCTGCTATAGACTATATATCATTTCAATTATACTACCAGCATCCCTCCCCCTGCTCTCTGCTATAGAGTATTCACTCTCTCTGCTTGTTTCATGTGAATCCCAGCAATATACTCCTAAAAAGGCTCCTGCATTCACTTGTTTGAGCAATAGCATCAGCCATTCTCTGCAATTCCCCTGTCTATTATCTGTCAACAGCCCTTAATTGTGCAACTTTCAACTTCTCACCAAAACATCTTTTTCCTTCTACTGTCAGTCTTCTCAACTTATTATATCATATAAAGGGAACTTGATCTCTTGCTAAGACAGACGAACAAGTAACCCGGTGGTTCCCTGCGTTCAGGATCTGACAACAAGAAGCGATTAAAGTGCAATAGACTGGGTTCTTCGTTCAGAAGAGCAGTTTCTTGCCTCCATTGCTCGTCTGATGCTTGTCTCCCGAACAGCACTGAAAGACCTTGCAATGCAAGAATCATGCAGGGAAAAGGGCCTATGAGGAACTCTGGTTAGTGCCAAAGCCAAACTATTATTTCAATATGTCCTCCGCAACATATTCAACGACCTCTACATCCAGACTGTTCCCTCTCCGGGGCAAGCAGCACACAGCTCTCCCAATTGGTGCAGCGGCTACATGACAGGGGCTACCTGGCCAAACATGCATTTCGTCTTGTGTACCCTGTTGAGAAGGGCCGCGAGCTACGCAACCCATTTGTCCCCTCAAACTACCACGCCGAGGGGGAAAATATGTGTCGGAATTTCGTGATGGTTGAGAAGCTAGGCTGGGTCTCGGATGATGCGGAGAAGCTACCCATACTGTTAGACGATCTGACACCATCAACATCCATGGTTCCCTGTCTAGAGCTATATACACAAACCCGTTCCTGCGACGCACAATCAAAAGAAGCAGACATCACTGCAACAAGTGGAACATAATCGGGCGGGTTTGGCAGCTATACACCACGACTAGATCAGGCTGGCAGATGATACAACGATGGCATTTGCTCTTTGTCTAATAATCGCATATCTATATCTTTCATCATATCCCCCTCTGGCCCTATCAATCACACCACGATCAGCATGCCCTCAGATGAGGCCATGCCATCTGTTGAAATCGAAGATGAGCCTGAAGATATAGCTGTGCATCTTATTGACATGCTCAATTCCGAGTCCCCAAAGAATCGAAAGACTTGGCTTCAGAGACTGGATGAATGCAATTTAGCACAGCTGTTGGAATCATCAAGAGTGAAGTCACTCCTCAACGTTGTCCTCCCCATCCAGCGGATCGGACCAGACTGAAATCGATCATCTATCAAGGTCGAGCACAACTTGCCCCTCTGGTTAACAGATGCCTCGCCGGGAGCCCGTGACTGTGGTACATTCAACGAGGATAACGATGGGCGGCCTTACGCCGGATGGTCATATGACGTTCAACCGAAAGGCTCCATCAGGATGTATTTTCCTCATGTCGGCATCGAGGGAGAGCTATTTGACCTACCAACTCGTTCGAGAAAGAAGAGATTACATATTGGCTTTACTCCTGGATCAATAGAAGGCACACTCCGCTGCCATGAGATCGTTAATATGCACTGATACTTTCTATCATCTGTGCAAAGTAACCCTCGCAATTCCAAGGCTGTGTCGTCGCTCCAACTTATAAGGGAAAGGCTCTACACGTGGGCGCGTGCGCCAATTGCGTTTGGCTGAATAAAGGGTCGAGATGTTCTCTGCGCCCTGGTGTTCTAATGATCGTCAAACCGGCCGAAAAGACCTGAACAGATCGAGCTCGATTGAGCACTTCTCTTCCAAGTGTTAGATAGAACAGAACGAATGTATCAGGGCGTGAACGCGGCTGGTCGTTCACTCATCAGCGGCAATGGAACTCTGGCCGGTTGGACTCTGTCGCTCATGAAGGCCTGTATTCAGCGGTCCTCCATCACCACCACCATCATCTGGTGAGTATACTTTTGGCGGTGTTCCTCTGAATGACCAAGCTAACATGTTGCGACAGCCTGTTCCTGCTGCTGCCACCATGGTGGCTGTCGTTGTGCTGCCCGCCTCTATGCCCCTCCTGCCGCCGCGAACCATCCACTATAATGTACGCGTCATCGTTGTCCTTCAATAGCTTTCTCAGGCAGCCATCATCCTTCATTGACGCGGCATGGAGTGTGACGACCCTTGCGATCAGTGTCGCGGCAATGCCGGTACCTTCCGTACTTGCGTTGTGTCTTATGAATACCGTTCGGCCGGTTCTAACCAGAGACGGGCTCTTCGGAGGAGCCTGTTCGAACTGTATTTGGAATGGGAAAGGAGCAAAATGTGCCTACTATCTCGGTAAGGAGGGGGCTTGGGACCCGTCTGATGACCTGTATGTATTCTCACATCCCGTTTGTCGATTCTCATCAGTTCATTGCTAACCGAGGTAGTAACATCCCCCAGGGTGGTGGCCTTCGGGCCATATGCGAGGAACCTCATCGACGTCTTTTCGAAGCAGGATTCCGATACCTTACCGCTGCACCGAGGAGAATTTGACCACCGAGTCGAGTTGGAACAGGGGAACACTGCACTCGCGTCTGGGGTGAGCGACAACTGTGTGGAAGAGAAAAGTGATAGGTGGTATCTTTCATCATTCTGTGCACACCATCGACTTGGACCAAGTGATCTTCATCAACTAGTACTGCAAGAAAATCACCCAGTATGCCGCCCTGGAGAAATCCTCGGGCATTGAGTGCGTTACTTTCTTCTAATGCAACAACCGGCGTGTGCCAACTGCAAGAGTTGGCCGGGCTTGTCCGGCGAGGAATCACCAGTCCTCATCATTACAATCACAGAACTGCAATCACTCGCGGCTTGTTGACCAAGGACATCCATCCTAGGGAACATGAAGGGATGCAGCTCGGCATCAAGTGCCACAATCCCCTTCAGGAGTCGTCCTTCGCTGAACCACCAACCACCTCCAAGTTCTCATTGCCAAAATGCCAGGGGGAAGCTCCAACAACTGTTTGTGGAACGGTCGATCGACGCGATGCTCTTACCATCTTAAGTGTTCGAAAATGTCAGAATCCGAAAAGAATGCACTAAGAGCACAAGGCAACGCCCTGCGAATCTCGTTGGAGTGCAGCGTCACGAACAGGCACACAGCCATGAAGGAACTGATCGAGTCCCTGGCGAGCCTGGGGGAGCGAGGCTACAATCGGATTGTGACCTCTCAAGCCTCCTTTATTGCCGTAATTTACACTGCAGTACATCGACAATCTCGTCAAAGGTTCTCACTCTTCAAAGTTCACTTTCAATTCACTAAAGCTCTTCGCTCTTCACTTGTCAACATGGCTATGTCTGACGCCGGATCTATGTCTGCTGAAATGGACACTCCTCAGGTTTCTCAACCACAGCCAGCTGCCAACAATACTGGCTATAAGGCTGAGGCTGCCAACCTGCGGCAATGGTTCAATCGTGCTGCTGAAGGGGTGACCGATCCCACTCAGCTAAATGAGTTGAACATTCTGTATGAACGACTGATTGAAGCTATGCGAATTATGCACTATCAGTCTAACAACCCTGGTCTGGGAGGAGCTACAGGAGCTTCGCCAGCAGCGTCGAGCTCCAACCCAGGAGTCTCAGCTACTCCACCAAGTACCAACATTCCTTCTTCAGTGCTCGCCACGTGGAGTGCGGAACCTTGTTCACAGTGCTCGAACGGTACAGGCACATTCCAGTCGTGTGTATCCGCCCCCGAATATGTCGTAAATGGTAAGTGTCGAGCGTTGTTCGTTGGCGCCTGCGCAAATTGCATATCCGGGCTCATAACCTCATAAAGGAAAAGGGAAAAGGAACTGCTGGATTCGACAGCAGAAGCGTTCCCTGATCTCGTTACGTCCAGTAGCGACTAGCAATCGATTCATAGAATACCATTCTGCGGGACCAAACTTCAAGCAAGAGCTGCCTACAGTGGTCGATCCCACCATCCCTGTCGCCGCTGTGGCACCCACACCAGCTCGTCAATCAACTGAGGTGACTGATATCGACCGCCCTCTGCATTTCATCCCATCATATAGCGACATCAGTATCACCGAGATCCAAGCACCCTTACCGAGCGACATCATACCGATTGGGACTCTGACTGAGGATAATCCGGACCCACACGCAGACGACTGGTCACAATGACCTTTGACAAAAGGGGTGTCACAATGATCCGTGTCTCGCCAAATCGGGTGGATCGAACCCAATCACCCTTCGGAGCACCACACAAGGGATCAGCCAAATTAGAAAATACGGAATGCTTCATCGAACTTTGTGACCTCAAGGCTCCCAGAAAGATTGAGTAGTGGTGTCCAAAGACGGACGAGAGGAAATGCCAGATCTGCAGATAGTTGGCAAACTTAGCATCTTTAGCTAGATACTTGTTTAGCTCGGATGCTGTAAGGTATAACCATCAGCAACATACAGGATTCTCTTTTTAGAATGAATATCGAGGGAGGAATTCAATGTGTATCATCGCCTTCGTCGCTCTGCATCGGATTTTTTTTGTGATGACTGTCTAGAGTCGCAAATTGTCAGCGACATCTTGAATACATGGCTGGCATCGTGTAGCAGTAGTATTTAACCTATATGATCATCATCCTTTGATGTTTGAATTATTCTCATTCCATTTTTAATCACCCTTTTCACTGTGTCCTTGATGCTATAGATCATGTCAGCAGGTTCATGCAAACCACAATTTGTTATCACATCTTCAGGTCTTCTACTAGCCACCCTTTGCTCGGTGAAGTAGGGCTCCAATAGGATCGGATGCTCCAGCGAGAATTCACATTCTATGACTATAGCACTCCCTCTTGTCTCAGTTGCGCGATCTTCTCCATTGACCAACCCATCTTCTGCAGCACTTCATCCGTATCCTGTCCCAGCGCTGGCGGACTGCTCCGAATCGAGGGCTGTGTTTCGCTGAACTTGACTGGGTTTCCTATTGGAATGAGTAAGTTAACGAATGTAGAAGGGCCTGTCCTGTGATCTTACCAATCACCTTCATCGTCCCCTCCGCAGTCGCCTCATGATCAATCGTCTGCACCATATGCCTGGCAGCAGTCTGGGGATGCTCAAACGCCTTTTGCAGCGTATTGACTGGTCCATACGGCATCCCGCTCCCCTCAAACACACCAAGCCATTTATTCGTTGTTTTCCCTGCAAAGCACTCATCCAGTATCTGCTTCAATTCCACCCGATGCTTCACCCGCAAGCCATTATCCACGAATCGTTCATCCTCCGCCAGTTCCTTCTTCCCGAGTCTCTCACACATCACCTTGAACTGCCGGTTATTCACTGCCCCCAGCACCAACGAGGAATCCTTGGTCTTGAAGACCCCATACGGAACGATAGTCGGATGCCCCGTCCCCCAGCGCTGCGCCTCCCGGCCCAGATTCAACCACGACATGGCGACATTACTCATCAGCGCGAGCGTGGTCTCGAACAACGAGGCGTCCAGCTTCTGCCCCCGACCCGTTTTCTGGCGTGCGACGAGCGCGGCGCAGATGGCGCCGTGCAGGTACAGACCCGTGCACAGGTCCATGAGCCCGACGCCGGGCTTCGTGGGCGGGCCGTCCGGCTCGCCGGTGATGTGCAACAGGCCGCCTTCAGCCGCGGCGATAACATCGTAGCCTGCGCGGAGGGCGTACGGTCCGGTAGCTCCGTAGCCGGAGACGCTTGCGTGGATGATCGAGGGGTTGGTCTGTCGTAGGGTGCTGTAGCCCAGGCGCAGTTGCTCGAGTTTTCCGGGGATGAAGTTGTCGACGCTGTTTCTATCAGCTTGGTGTGCGGATATTGGAGGAAGCGCGTACATGACATCTGAGCATTTCGCTAGTTCGAGGATTATTTCTCGTCCGTGGGGATGTTTCAGGTCCACCGCTATGGACTTTTTGTTGCGGTTGATGGTGTTGAAGTACAAGGACGTGTTTGTGGCATTGGGCTTCCACAGCCTGTCTTCGCCTGGCTCTCGCCAGAGTCTAGTGTCATCCTGCAAATCTCAGCAGGCACGTTGCTCGATCGAATGGAAGAACATACTCCTCCCTTGGGGTGTTCCACCTTGATCACCTCCGCGCCATAGTCGGCCAGAATCTGTGTGCAGAATGGTCCCTAGACGGTTATTAATTGAGCAATATGAAGAGGTAAAAAGACATACTGCAAGAACACGAGTCAGATCTAGGATGCGGATGCCTGTCAACGGGCCCTGTTTCGTTGGTGGAGTCGAGTATAGCCGTTGATGGCCAGCAAGATTGGTGCTTGAGTAGACACCTGAGATACCTCGTGCAAGGCTTCTTTTCACATAGCAACGCATATCGACTGTCTGATCTTGATGGTCAAAGAGTACCGTAAGATGGCTCGAACAGCTAAGGAGATGGCTCGTCCTCACGGCTACCCCGCATGACGATCCTCTGGTCTGGATAAAGCAGTTGATGCCTCGCTACTCGGTTGTCGGCTGTTCGGCCACTTCAATCGGCCATATAACTCTCTGGGATGAATCATTGCACAAGAATGTATCCGTCCAACATGTCGTTCTTTCGTAGAATGGTGGGCCTCACCACCCAAAGACCGCATTCACTCCCAACAACAAGGAAACTCATCCCATCACAACAAACCTCGAGAATACTCTTCGGCATCAGCAAAAGAAGAATTCACGCGCGAGCAACCGAGTATCTCCAGAACCACAACCCTGACTTCACCGAATCTCAACGCACCGTCCGCGAGGCCATCGCCAGGATCTGCTCCAGCTTTCCGGACGAGTACTGGGCCCAGCTAGACGAGAAGAAACAGTTCCCCTTCGAACTGCACCAGAAACTTGCGCAAGATGGCTGGCTGGGTATCTGCATGCCACACGAATATGGAGGCTCCGAACTAGGCATCGCCGAGGCGGCCGTGATGATGCAGACGATCGCCGAGTCCGGCGGCGGGATGGGGGCTGCTTCCTCGGTCCATATCAACATCTTTGGTCTGGAGCCGGTGGTCAAATTTGGCACAGACGAGCAGAAGAAGAGGTGGCTTGTGCCCATGATCGCTGGCAGGGAGAGGGCCTGTTTTGCTGTGACGGAGCCGAACACGGGACTGGAGACGTTGAAGCTGCAGTCGGTTGCGAGACGGGAGGGGGATGAGTATATCCTTTCCGGCCAGAAGATCTGGATTTCGACGGCGCAGCATGCGCAGAAGGTGTTGATTCTCGTCCGGACCACCCCGCTGGAGAAAGTGAGCAACCCGTCTCAAGGTCTCTCCCTCTTCTACACGGATCTCAACAGGAAGTCTGTGGAGATCACTGAGATCCCCAAAATGGGCCGCGGGGCCGTGGATAGCAACAGCCTGTTCTTCGACAACTGGCGCGTGCCAGTGGCTGACCGTATAGGAGCCGAGAATGAGGGCTTCAAGATGATCATGCTCGGAATGAACGCTGAGCGCATATTGATTGGAGCAGAAGCACTGGGACTTGGGTTTGCGGCGCTGAGGCGGGCAGCGCTGTATGCTGGTGAACGACAGGTCTTTGGTCGTCCCATTGGCCAAAATCAGGGAATCCAGCACCCGCTTGCAGATAGCTGGATGAATCTCGAAGCGGCGCGGCTGGTTATTTATCAGGCCGCAAAGATGTATGATGCAGGGTATGTCGACGGGGAGTATGCCAATGCAGGTAAATACCTGGCGGCAGAAGCGGCGTTTGAGGCATGCGAGCGAGCAGTTCTGACGCACGGAGGCATGGGATATGCCAAAGAGTATCATGTAGAAAGATATCTGCGAGAAGTGTGGGTTCCTCGCATTGCTCCTGTCAGTCGCGAAATGATCCTGAATTACATCGGACAGCGCGTGTTGGGTTTGCCCAAGTCGTACTAGGTAAGCAGCCAACTGGTTAGCAAACACCCTTGACGTGGTGCCTTTTATCATACAGCTTCCACCAGTAGTGACAGTTATTTTGGTTCATGAGCGAGAGAGCAGATTACCCTATATCTGGACAGCAGAAGAAAACATTCCGCCTCCATTCCTCGACTACCGTAGTCCTGAAGAGGTAATTGACTCTATACCCATCAGAAGTCCTCGTAATCACCGATTAGGGCTATTCTGTGGAACCGCTGGAAGCTTCCTGACTGCAGACTATGTGAAACGACTCAGAGGTCTGCTTAGCTCAAAAGGACGCGGCAATGTTCAGAACCTCTGGCTACTTTTGCTCAGCGTCCATCGACCCTAGTCAGTCATACTGATTGTTCGCCTGCAGCAGTTGTCGACGACTTGAGTTGAGCGTGCGTCATCAGTCCTTATTTACGCATTCGGGTTTCCATACGACAAATTTACTGGTGTAGCAGGGGCGGTTGAGTGCGATTGTGGTTTGGGAATTTACCAAGGCAATTTACTGGAGCCAGGGGAGCCGGCGCTCCATGAAGTGCTTGGGGATGAATCTGAGTGGAACTGGAGGTGGACAGGAAGTTGTAGAGGGTGACACCGTTTGGGTGTGATTGTGCTATACATGACAGGTTTGGATAACTACAGACGACTAATCGTCATTATAATCGTAGAAACTGTTGGCGGTCCAGCCGTTGACCGCACTATAATCAGCCAGAGGAGTGGTTCCGTGCAGCGTCTCGTAATGCCTGCGAGGTCCGCACAGCCTTTCCATCGTCGAGTTGTAGTAGACACAGCGGCCTTGCAAGAGTGCCGCGATCTGTCTTCCGGCATCCAGGCCTTCAAAGTAGGCTCCATGCAAGAACCCGAAGTAGCTTGGTGACGTGTGTTCTCCTGCAAACCACACTCTGCCGGTGTTGGCGCGGAGATTCTGGTGTTCCTCCAGGCTGGTGCTTGCAGGCCAGTTCGAGTAGCTTCCATATGACCATGGCTCGGTACTCCAGCGAGGATACATGAACGCAGTAGGCTCCGGAATGTCCTTGTCCGGAAACATCTTGCGTAGAACCGCCATTACCTCTGCTTTGGTCTCCTCGTCTGACTGGTTCTCAACGTGATAGGAGAACTGGTTGGTCACGGTAACGAAGAGAATATTGGATCCGGGCAGAAAACCCGGCGTCGAGAGTGATTGCCAGATAGGATACCATCCACGAAGCTTAGGGTCCGCGTACAAGAAGTACTGTGTGTTTGAGGGCCAGAAGGTTTCGTTGAATTGGAGGAAGATCTTGGTGTAAGTGCCCATGGTAAACTTTTCAATGGCCGTCTGCTTCCAGTATGGCAGTTCCGGCGTGAAGGTGACGGCGTCATTTTGCAGCACACCCAAAGAAAATGTACATAGAGCATATTGGGCTTGGACACAAGTACCATCGCTGTTGTACACCGTCACGCCTTCGTCGGAATAAGTGATGTTGGTGACTTGTGTGTTCAAACGGAGTCGCGGGTCATTGGCCTTCAGGAATTTCGATGCCATGCCCTTGATAATGGCGTTGTATCCGCGCTGATCCCATACGAAGTTGTCCTCGTCGCTGAAACCATTCCAGGTCATGTTACTCCCAGCGTAGCCAAATACCAGAGAGCTCTCGAGTGGCGAATAAGCGTCCTCGAAGTCTAAGACTATTAGTTTTCATTCCCATCGGAGACAGGCTAGGCTTACCCCAGCTCCACCACTCAACAGCCTGCGCCTCCATGTCGGTCTTTTTGGGCTTCCAGCCGGCCAAAGCGAGACCTGTCTGAGCTGTCTGGTCCAGTAGATTCTCAAGTAGAATCGTGCCAGCTGCAGCGTTGGCAATCCCGTCGGCGGCATCATAAGCATCGAAGAGATGCGAGTAGTCCGAATATCCGTGCTCGTTGTAAGTGGAGACGTTGTCATAGTCGGAAAATGTATTCTTGAGGTTGAACTCTTTGGCTAGGGTCCAAATAGGGTTCTGTGGCCCATCCGCGGTTCCAATGCCTTGGATCTGTTCAACGATCAGCAGGGGTTCGACACAAACAAAAGAATGACATACCCAGTTGGCACCCAGCTCCACGACATAAGGATTTCCATTTTCGTCCTTGCCAAAATCCGTGTGCCAAGCCCGGCCTCCAATCGTGTCACGGTATTCTAGAATAACAAAATCATGGATCGATGCATTGGACAAGGTTTGCTGTCACGGTCAGTTTTGAACGCATCCCGGCACATGTCCAACATACAGCAGCCTTAATCCCTGCCATTCCGGCTCCTCTGCGAGACATTAGCAGCTATACAGAATATACGAAAAAGACAAGCGATGCACCAACAAGATTGCGACCGTAGTTTTCTGGCATGTTCCCTCTTGAGACCGTGGCTGCTGAGCTACGTAAGCCGCGACAGATTGAACCGCGCAACCTACGATGCCAGCCAAACCAAGTTGAAGATGCATCGTTAGGACAGGCTTGAGGCAAGATGATTGAGTGCAATGCTTGAAAAGACACTTGCCCTGAATGTGGGAGCATGCGGCTTTATATGCCTGACCTTGGAGCTCCGACTAGAGACTACGATTCAGCTCCCCAGCTGCCTCGGACACTCCACTTTTGAATTAGCACCAGTTTCTCCATCAAAGAATTAAGTTGGAACCTGGAGATAAGATCCAAAAAAACAATGTAGAAGATCGACACGTCCATGTAACATACTCCGCCTGGCCATCTCACACCATGCAAGGGAGTAAGTCAGCCAGAAGCCATGGCGCTACACGAGATTCGGCAGGTCTATGCGGAAGGCATAGATGAGTTCTGATAAGCATAGTATTGAACAATGAGTCCCCCACATCTTTATCTCCGATGTAAAATTCCCCTGTCCTGTGTTATCATTGTTGCAAGATGTGGGAAATCCGGTGGCTGGTGTGCACTCATTCAGCTAATGCAGCTATTATTGCTGCTACTGGCGAATAGTTCGTGAGGTGGAGCTGACCAATCGCCAGGTTGCCATGATGGAGACTCGAGCTGATCGGGTAGACCTCCTCAAAGTTAGTTAGAGGCTTTCATTACTAAATGAATGATCCCGTTGCCAAATCAATCATGAATGATGGCGGTGATGCTATCGCTTGACTAAAAGTAAACATCACGTGGGACGTTCTTTATGCCTTACGATTAAGGCATACAGAAGTACGTACCCATCAACCTTCCTGATCGGGAAAAGCATGAACAACCCGAATCAGTCCCACTGCATCGAAGTCCTACAGTCCAGTCATCATCTAGACATCTCTGGAAACCAGCTGATTCCATTTCATGGTAACTCTCTTGCATCGAGAGCACCTCTTCTAATCCCTAAACCTCGCTATAATCCACTCACTAATCATCTTGCTCGTCATGCTAGGTATTCTCCTCGCTGCGAAATCCATCAACGGCACATCATGCGTCTCAGATGGCCCGACATACGTTTGTAGTTCTACAGATGTCCTTCTCTTGAGCACATCGACAAACTGTCCGATGTGATCCCGGAATATCTCTTCCTCGCCCCCGGTGAGCAAGACATGATTCACAACGTTGAGGCCATCCCACCAAGTCTCAGCTGGCAGAAGCAAGGTGGAATGGACTATCTTACCAACATGATATTTCAATGGCATGATATCGAGCACGACGACTCGCCACCCGTCCCTCGCTAGCTTTTGAATAATACTCCCTCCGATGCCGCCGCTTCCGCCGGTTACGACAACAATCTCCCTTTTCCAGTCCCATGTGGGATCGGTTGTCCAGTTGTTTCTACTGCCCTTACTCAGTAAGTCGTTAAGCCAGAGAGTCACGCTCAGGATAGTGGTATAGGTCGTGATTTTCAGGAAGTTGACTGAACGGAGTGAGGAATTGAGCTGGAAGAGCCCAAGAAGAATCAGATTTGGTATAGGATGCCGGATAGATTTTCGGTGAGTGTCACTATCGGGGTCCATGTAAAGACCCTCTCGTGGAAGTAATCTATGTAGCTCTGACATGATGTGTCACACGTTTTGTTTAGTCGTTGCTGATCGTAAGGTTTCTTTGCAGGTATAGGCATATATAAGCCACCAAGAATGCAACGGATATGCTCCGGCCAATGCTTTGGTCCGGGATGAACCCGAATCAGCTGTTGAGGTAAAAGCCTGGGTTCGATTGCTTGTGAGCGTATTTGAGGGGAACAATCTACTTTCTAACATGGATCTCTACGATGCTAGAAGCCACACGCTAAGCTACAATTGGCTCTGTTCGGCCACTTGCAAAGTCCAATATGCAACACACTGACTACAGGACTGGCTGGAAAGTGTACACTAGCGATGCTATATCATTCAAGGCCGAGATTTTGAATCCTCTAGGACCCCTTCTCGTGATGCCTCCTCAATTATCAGCTGTGCATGTTGTTCGCTTCTCGGTGTCACCTTCACTGGGAATGGTTCCTCGGTCAAATGATGGTTGAGACGTCGAGAATCAATGGGACCGGACTGTATCCGTCAGATCATGACCATATGCATACGTGGTGGATGAGGCTTACCGCCGCATAGTTGTAACAAAAAGCCAGCCGGGCGACATTGATGAACAGCCCTCTTTGGGCCAAGCGATATCCCACGCAGATACGTCTTCCGCCGCCAAATTGCCACAGGCCATGTGCAACATCGGCTTCATGACCGTCGAGCCACCGTTCCGGCTTGAAGACGTCTGGCTTCTCGCACTCATTGCACACGGGAATCTCGTTGATCACAAAACCCACTCCAGCGGGGATATGGTACCCTTCGAATTCCAGATCGGAAGTCAGGACATGGTCCGGGGTTAGAGGGAATATGGGCCTCCAGCGAAGGAGCTCCTTAATGATAGCGCAGATATATGGCATCCGTTCCATATCATCAAGCCCCGGCAGACGCAACTGTTCCTGGTCCGTCACGCAGATCCGGTCCACCTCTGCCCTTGCCTTCTGAAAGACCTCGGGATAGCAGAGTGCCGACATGACGAAGATGTTGAGAACCTCCCGGGTGGTATCGCTGCCCGCCTCAATGAGCTGCATCGTTACATACATCGCCTCCTGGTCATCGCCTGTGAACTTGGTATCCTCGTGGAGGAGTACATCCCTGACGAACGAGGGCGGTGCAGTGCCTGCCTCGACTTTTTCACGCACCGGCACCCACCACGATCGGTAAACCTCGTAGTTCCACTGTCCCAGCTTCTCCCAATATCTGCGCCAGGGCTGCAGCCGCCGAGGTAGCGCGTCTAGCTCGGGAAACCAATCAACCATGCTAGACCCTATGCTGCCAACGAAGTATGTGACTACGTCCTGCAGATCCGCCAGCTCTTTGTTGGTCTTCGTCAAACGCTCCCCGAGCGCGATACGATGCACGACCGAGTTGGCGTAGCGGTAATGGTGGCGGTACCATCTCTGGGGCTGGAACAAATACTCAGCCAGAAGCTGTGTGCTCTCGAGCTCCTGCCAGGCGCCGTACTGCCGCAGAGCGGTCCCACTAAGTAGCGAATGCATCACTCGACGCTTCTCAGTCCATCCAGCAGGAGGCAAAATAAGAGAGCGGCTATGGCGGCTGACGATTCCGCTGGCGACAGGCATTGGGGACCGGCCGTTTGTGATGGAGCCACGCTTTGCTATGATCTCTGATACGACTCTTTGGCTGTTCAGAAAGATCCACGTTTTGCTCCCTAGGTGCACGGTGGCCATTTCACCGTACTGGGTGAGGGAGTTAACCTATGTTCGAACAATAAGCATGTGCGATCTTGGACGCTAGACTATGAAAGATCGGTGTCCCTTACCCATTTGAAGTCGGGATCACTGCGGGCACTTTTCAAGTCGAGCAGATTCCCCAGAATAGGGAGACCTGGAGGTCCCGGCGGCAGTTTCCATTCCTTCCCTGGAACTCGACGCTTTCCCATCGGAGTAAAAATCTGACCAATTACAAGAAATATGGTGGCCAGGCAGAGAAAGACGGCAAGCAACATTGCCTGGACGGGATGCGCTGATGTCTCTCGAACGAGGATAGTGTGTATTGGAGCATCCATTCTGTTGTGTATTCTGGACTGGCACTCAGTGTAATTTGAGGCACGATTCTTCCAGTGGAAGTGCCTATTTGAAGGGCCATTTGAGCTGGCGCGTTGCTTCGGGTACAGTCCGACGGTCGTGCTGGGTATCCGGGATGATCCCGGTGAGGCCTTTCAACCTGCCTATGCCTATCCGGAATCGTCCCGATACCACTCTATAAAGCGGTCCAAGGTGATGAATCTTGATCCTGCCAAGGATGACGAAATGCTGTTTCTTCTTTCTTCAATTGTCCTTCTCTTTGCCATCGTTTATCTACAAACAGACTGCATCGACATAATGACCGATCACCTGATGGACTGGCTGCAAGACAAGGCCTTTGGCTGGTCTCACCGTCCTCCCATCAACAAGGTCGACACTCACCATCACTTCGTGCCTCCCTTTTATCGCAAAGGTTCTAGCCTCATATGCATGGACATCGTTCACCAGCTTACAAGAAACGCAGCCGTAGAAGACGCCGGAGGTGACCCCAGTGGTTGGCCTACTCCCCAATGGACGGCCACTCGCTCTGAGCTTCTGATGAACCGTCTGGGTATTCAAACCGCCATTCTATCCGTGACAGCGCCGGGTGCCTGTATCCTGAAAGGAACAGCCTCCTTCACGCTAGCCCGCCAGCTCAACAACTACGCCGCCGAGCTTCGAGACCGCAACCCTCAACGCTTTGGCTTCTTCGCCTCCCTCCCCAGCCTCCTTGACACCGACGCAGCTCTTAGCGAGATTACCTACGCTCTCGACACCCTACATGCCGACGGTGTTACGATATTTACCAGGTATGGGGACTCGAATGTCTACCTCGGTCATCCCTCACTAGAGCCCATCTGGGCGGAACTCGACCGCCGTAAGTGCGTAGTCTTCGTCCATCCCACGCATCCAGTCGATACCACCCCTGTCAATCCCAAAATGCCTCAACCTGTGGTGGACTACCCGCACGAAACCACTCGTTCTGCCATGGATATGATTCTGCAAGGCACTCGGTCCAAGTACCCAAACTGCAAGGTTATACTGTCCCATGCAGGCGGCGCGCTACCGTATCTCATCAGCCGCGTGGCGACGCCGATGCGTCGGGCGCCGGATATGGCGGCTTCGCATCGAATGGGCACGACTTATGAGCAAGTCATGCGTGACTTTCGCAGCTTCTATTATGATCTGGCGCTGTCGTCGTCGCCCCAGGTTCTGGATATAGCTTTGAAGATGATTCCGAGGGACCATTTGTTGTTCGGGGTGAGTACTTTGTGACTATAGGAATCTACTATCTGTGGATGCTAATGGCAGCAGAGTGACTTTCCCTATGCCCCTGCGCCGGCCTATCCTGGCTTCCTGGAGGATCTGGAGAGTTATGAGATGGAGCAGGGGCTGCGGGACATGATCAACTTCGGGAATGCAACCAAGCTGATTCCAAGATTAGCCAGTGGTAATGAGCGTAACTGGCTAGCAAAATAGCAACATAGCCCTGGGTGATGATATGGCCATAGTCTCGTTGAAATGAATGAACATCACGTGTCCCGGGATGGACCCGGACCTTTTCATCGTCCATCATCGAACCCCTTTAAACATCCCATCACTTAGACTTAAGAGTATCATCACCATATATTATGCAACCTCGAAGATCTGCTCGTAAAGCAGTAACTCGGCGCAAGATTGCTCTGGCGTGTGAACCCTGTCGAGAACGCAAGTCCCGCTGCGACGGCCAGAAGCCCATCTGCGGGCCCTGCGAGCGACGTTCTTACACCGTCGATCGTTGCATCTTCAAAGCTGACAATGCGCGATCAGCGAGTAACGATGAGTAAGTTGATCAACCCCTTTGAAAACCCTTATTAAAAAAAACTGATGCCGCAGTTACCTCCGCGCGCTCCATCACCGCATCCGAGAGCTGGAAGAGGCCTGTCGCAAAGGGGGAATTTCCGTGCTACCATCGGGGACAGAGGACGTCGTTCCTGGTTCACTTGGAGAGGCTGCTGCTCAAACACCCCTGATAGGATTATCTCGGCCGCATCAAGCAATCCGGGGTCAAGCTGCGGCCTATTGCTCGCCGCACTCTGGCACTGACCCGGTCTATCTAGAGTCACCTGCTGCCTGCAGCAATGTCACCGCCATGGGAGCCATTAATTCGGTCGCTAGTCCGGTCGAACAAGGGGCGAAGCCCCTATGGCGAACGAATGAATACTTTGGAAGCTCGTCCACCGCTTCGATGGTGCGGTTCCTCGCCCGCGGTTCACTGCCCGGCGGTTCGAGCCCTATCCGCACATCACAGAATCAAACCCGAGACGCATCGCCGCAGGGGCGAGGTGTTTGGCCCTCATCCAGGGTCCACGTTGACGGCTTCTTGCTTCCTCCGCGAGATCTAGCGGATCGCCTGCTGGAATGCTTCTGGGATCGGGTGTACTGTCTGTACCCGTTCTTCGACCGGACGAGTTTTCAGGATGCGTATGACAATCTGTGGCTCCCGAGGAGCCAGTCGGGAAAGTCGCTGAGCGAGCTTGATATTGGCCTTGGAAGCAAAGCCGACTCCGGACCGCGGTCGCTCGTTTTCGTCTGCGCACTGAACATTATCTTTGCGCTGGGCTGCCACTTTGCCGATGATATCCCGGTAACGGAGCGTGAGGCGGTTTCCTATACCTTCTTCCTCCGGGCAAAACAGCATATCGGATTGGACATGATGGACCTTCGAACTACCGGCGTCGTTCAGACGCTGTTGGTTGTTGCGCTATATCTGCAGAGTACGCCGTATCCTCACCGATGCTGGAACTCGATAGGGGTGGCTTGTCGAATTGCCCAGGGGTTAGGCCTTCATGAGGCGCAGCTGTACGAGCAGAAGAGTCCGCTGGAGCAGGAGATTCAGCGACGGACATGGCATGGCTGCGTAATGATGGACATGTATGCCTTACCATCGATAGGAGCCTCAGACTTGACTAATCAGTTTTTAGGATCGTGAGTATGACTTACGGTAGACCAAGTATGACCTCGCATCTCCCGAGTGTTCCCTTACCAGGGACCGGCGAGGAAGAACACTCTTTTGGAACCCCGTCGCCCATGGCCTTCTACATCTCCACCATTAAGCTACATCGCATTCTCGACTGTATCCTGTCGGACATCTACCGGGCATGGCGTGGTCGCAGTAGCCCTGGGTCTAGAAGACACACAACCAAACACGGAGGGCTGGACGTCATCATCGAGCTTGAAGAGAAACTCTTCGAGTACGAAAACAACCTTCCCCCTTTCCTCAATTGGAACCGTCCATTGGATCAAGCTACCAGTCCCGAACAATCGACTCTCCACCGGCAGCGAAACGTCCTCCACGCCAGATACCTATACCTTCACCTCCTCCTCTACCGACCCATCCTCACCCAGCTCTGCTCCGAGAGTATCCACCCGCGCACTTATGCAGACAATCGCCCCAGCCCCAGCTCCAACTCCAGCTCCCTATACGCCTCTATCCTCTCCAAGTGCGCCGCCGCCTGCGTCCGCACAGCCATTGACCTCGTCTCCTTCGTCCACGAGACCTACCAGACTTCCGCCACCGACCCATGGTGGTATAATGGCTTCTGTACACTATTCTTTCCTCCTGATCTGGTGAGATATATATCTAATAAAATCGAACAGATACTTCCACAGCAGGCATGGTCCTCATCATGTCCTCCACCTGCCGCACGATCCTGGCCGAGCTCGAAGCGAGTCTCGTACACGAAGCCTGGTCGAAATGCGAGCAGATCCTCACGTCCATGAGTCCCTTTAGTGTGTCTGCGCGCAACACCCTGCTCTTCCTCAGGACGGCGCGGACTCAGGTCATGGCGGAGAATGGCTGTCATGGAGAGGGCGATCGCGATCGCGATCGCAATCAGCCGCGACAGGAACAGGGACAGGGGCAGTTGCACCTGCAGGAGAACCCGTTTGTGATTCCGGATGGACTGTTTACGAGCCACTGGGACGCGTCTGCGGATGAGTTGGAGTTGGGGTTTCTGGGGCCGTTTGATTATGGGGGGCTGCAGGGGTGGCTGGGAGACGGGTCATAGCTTCGTGCTATATTATGGAAGTACCGACTTTCCCCTGTCATACACATTATGACAGGTATTCGTCCCTCAAAGTCATTGAGTAGGCTGCCACATATCGCAAGGCTGAGGCTAAAATTGCAAACAAGGCTGAAAGGTGCAGTCAAGAGGCCGAAGCGAGGCGCCTAAGGTCGACGGCCGACGGCGTATCGCTGCAGGTTTAGTGCTTTCACAGCCACCACTTATAAAAATGAAGTGTCCGACTTCCTCTTTTCCTCCTCTTCTGCCTCTCGTTAAATAAAGTGAGCAACTCGAACAATGGACAATTATGTCAATGAGAGAATGGATATTGTGACTGTTGTCGAAGAAAGTGGTACGTTCTTTAGCTCCCAGATCTAGATTATCCACAATGCTTAGCATATAGATGAGAACACCTGGACATCGCGACAGGCCAATCTATGGCAGGAATTAGAGGATTACCAAAGTCAAACGTCTTCAACGGTTCTACTGTACGTCTTCTCCCAGCACTGGCCAGCCTAATCTCACAGCGGACGACACACAGATACGCCAGCTTCTCCAAGGAAAACATCGAAAGCTCGCCCGTTCTAAAGCGCGAGAATCCAGACGTCTTTTTCCCTCCTGACTTCTTCCCCGTCATCAAGGCCGACCTGAATGGGACATTCTTCTGCGACTACGACATTGACGATGAAGGAAAAATCACCAAGCATGGTCCGTTCATCTCTCGTGCTCAACATTCGACCATGCTGATCCGAGAGTATAGTATCGTGGACCTGCTTCAAGATCAAACACGTCGTCAAACCAGGCGAGTACGAATGGATCCAACCAGCTGTCTTCGTACAATGGCACCCGCAAGAGGATCGCCAGCTCGTATTCTTCCTGAACCTGCCGCCCGTCGTGGCAAAGTATCTCGCCGAGCATCGACCCTCCACCAACCAGCGGAGGAATCCCTTCATCTGGCACGCGCTTTTCGCGCAAGGCGTAGTCGAAGAATACGACAAGTCGATTTGGTCCCTGCGTGATCTGGTCCGGGATATCGAGAAGGTAACCCCGTCCACCCAGCCCAGGGCAAAGAGTGATTCACAGCGCAGCCTAGGCCCGCAACCAGCCACACCCGCCCGCCCTCAACTTCCCCAATCTCCACGACATCGCCCGCCACATCTTCCACTCGAATGAGACCCTCGAAGTAGCCGCGCATACCCTGCAGTCTCTGATCGACGAGCAGACCCGGTTCCGCGCCGAGCATGCAGAGCTGGTGAACGGTAACCGCGGCGCCTGGTTACACGCCGCGCAGCGTGCGCACTTCGTCGCGAAACAGCTGCATTCGCTCATGACGCGTTCGAAATCGCTCAGTGAGCGGTTGCGCAACGAGATCAATCTGGCGTTCAACCTGGTCTCGCAGAAGGACAGTGCGATGATGAAGACGGTGGCGGTCGTGAGTATGGTATATTTGCCGGGGACGTTTATCTCGGTATGTTCAAGCCCCATTCTCGAATCCAGGGCGAAAGACGATGGCTGAGAATGTAGGGTCTCTTCGGGACGAACTTCTTCAATCTTTCGGGTAATGATGGGTCGCAGTCGTGGATCATGTCGGGGAATTTTTGGCTGTATTGGGCCATCACGCTGCCGCTTACCTTTGCGACGGTTGCGGTTTGGGCTTCGTGGCATTATTTTCCGCACTATTACCCGTGTATGTGTCACAAGCCGCTGAAGGGCAGTGAATCGGTTGCCTGATGGTCTTCTTTCTCATGATTGACGAAGTGACGATAACGATCAACATGTTGACGTGGGCTTGTATGCCCTAATGACGCTCTAGTTTTGTGCCAGATATGATTAGCCATCATGCATTAAATAGACTTATGATACGGATCTCGCAATGACGAGGCTGAAAGGTTCTAATTCTCATTTCGCTTGAGTAACTCTAACTCTCCGGCATGTTGTCCAACACCGAGGGTGAGACAAATCTGCTGCTTGCTTATTGTACAGTAAAGCTCGAGCGTCAGATGTCCAACGCTTGGTAATGGCACCATTAGTGTAAAATATGCGGGGATCCCTTTCGCCCATATTATGGCTCAGGCCTCGGCCACAGCACTATAGCAGGAGCCGTGCGTGCGTACCTACCTTCCAGACCGGCCACATCATCGAAGATAATTATATAGTGCTCGAGAATTCCATCTCGTCAAGGTCGTACCGCTGAACGGATCTCAATCACTCGCACCTACTGTGCTTTCGCAGGCGCGGCCGCCTGTCTGATACCAGCAGCCAGGCACCCGAGAGCGCAGTCCGACGAATTGGGAGCACTGGCTATGTACAAAACCAGATGCACAAGCTGGGCCGACGTCAGCGCAATCTAAAACTTATTTTACAAAACTTTGACTTGATCAGTGCAAAGCCGATATACATCAAGAGTCGGAAATATCGCCGTCTGAGGTTTCGATCGTTTCGACCATGTTGAACGGAGACTCGTCCGAGCGCTCATTTTCGGGTCGATTTCCAAAGTCAGCAAATAACGAATCTGTCTCGGTCGGTAGATGAAGGCCGTGGACAATAGCCTGAGTGTGGATCCTATCCAAAGCAGCTTTGCTCGATCTCCATCGTCGAGACGCAGCTTTCGCGGCTATGCTGAGGTTAATGAACGCATCACGGTTCTCGGGTACATCCAAGCGTTCGAGCAAGACGAGCAAGGCCATGTTGATCGGCTGGATGGTGCCCTGTGGCATGCGTTCAACACCCCAAGAGGAACGATGAAGGCGCATCAGCTGAGAGATGCTCCTCGCAGATGACAAGCAGGCCTCCTGGTGGCTCTTTGGCATCTTGCGGATAGGTCGGTCATCCGAGTGACCATTTCGCTCACTCTTGCATAAGAGTTCGTAGACTGTTATAATGAGCGCGTGTTGGTACATGCTGCAATAATCAGCAGTCACTCCTCTCGAACCTACGCGTCGGGGACAAGAAGCTTACTGAAGACATAAGACATGCGGAACCTCAATGGTATCCCTTTCCTTCAGGCAGACCGGTAGCTCGCTTTGCCACTCTCGCAGTCGTCGTTGCAATTCGTCGATCTTTTCCGTCTCTGAAGAGCTGACTTCTCCGTGAAAATGGGGGTAGGTAATATCGTAGGCGATTTCGTTCAGGCTACAGAGAGCTCGGAACGTACACGGTGTATGCGCTTGCAATTTTTCGGACTCTGTTGGGTATGGTACCCACAGGTCGGCGTCCGAGTCATGGGTGATCGACGGGAGACGTAGCTTTTGGGGCGGTTTGATCAAAGGCGCCTTCTTACTTGATATGGCATGGGTCCTGGGTCCAGGGACTGGTCAGTCGTCCCTGGTTCTTGCCGTCCGGCACTGGTAAAAGACACTGCATTGCGTACATCGCGATGTTGAACAAACCCCAAATTGTGACATTGGCCGCTCGAGCCAAGTCAAGCGCATCACCGTCGGCATCTCTGGGAGCCGTGATGCTCGGAAACAGTTCCTGAACGGCGTACGCAAGTTGGCTCTGATGAATCCAGCCATGACGATCTTTCCTGGTCTTGAACGCACTGGGGTATTTTCAGCAAAGGGCAGCTCTACCAGGGTAGTGAAGCATACCATGTCCATAGAACTCCCAGCCCTTGGGCAGTCGCAAGGGTGATTCTGCCTTCTTCCTTGTCCAGCAATCGTTTGGCCTCGTTGTAGAAGCGGGCACCCTGGGCGGCCGCGTCTCTCGAAGAAGCATCCGACTCCAAACTATCCGAGTATGCCTGTCACTAGTCACCAGAAAGTCCAATTACCTCGACCCGAGACTACCTACACACGCATCGGCCAGAATGGCATTCACCAAAAACGGTGAACAAAATTTCGAGTCCAACGTCCCCGACTGCATGTCCCGCAGAAACAAGCCCCGATCAATCCAGTTGTAGAACGGATGGACCCAAGTAAACCACAGCAAAATCAAATGCGAAACATGGTCGTCATCCACGGTGACGGTCGTCCATGGGGCCGCCGGCACGCGGAACAAGGGCTCCACGGAAGACCTCTGCGCGTCGAGAATGCGGCGCCGCGACCGCGATCCCATCTGCTCAAACCGCTGTATCTCATTGCACACTTCGACCAGCTCCGGTGTCTTCTCCAGCTCGAACTTCAGCTGCGTGTCTATGTAGAGCTTGATTTCGGCCAGGGAGGCGTTGCTGCGGATGAGGTTGAGGAGCTGGATGGTGCGCCGGGTGCCGCTCTCGCGGAGGGTGCTGACGAGCCGAATCAAAATATCTTCTTTCTCTTCGAGCTGGGTGACCTTGCGTTTCAGGACGCCGCGGCGGCGTTTATCGGCGCCGGCGTCGAAGGTACATTCGACGTTGTTCTTGATACAGTTGGTGCATGGGGATGTTCCTGAGCACTGAACTAAGAGTCAACGATAGTCTTCCCCGGAGTCACAGAGCAGCTGACAGCCTCACTCACCTTGAGCTTGCGCGTTTTACAGGCCGAGCACGCTGTACCGACATTTTTCCGCTTTTGCTGAGCTTCATTTAAACCAGAGCCACCAGGCGGGGCTGGAGGCGGATTGGACTCGGCCATGGTGGGGTATGACGTGTGTTCTCAGGCCATCCTGGGTAATGGAAATCAATAAAAGTAAGAGAAAGGGTGAGAGATCAAGTAGAAGCAAGGTGAGGGCAATCGGCTTTAATGCCACATGACGGAAAGGTCCGAAGTGAAGAGGAATGACGCTTAATCGCGATCAGACCTGTAGTTAAGGAGAATTGCCCGTGACAGAGCTGGTATTAATTACGCCATCCCAGGACGGTTCCAAGTAAATCATTCTATCTTATTGGAGATTTCATTGGCTGATGGAGCTGTTCATGCTTCTCCGCAGTATCGTATTGTAACAACCCATTAGATATCTCTTGCGGCATGAATTATTGGAAAGTGATCCAGTAGTGTTCCTTTTCTTTTTTGGTAGCTATTTATTACCAAATTGTTCATGTGATATGTAACTCCAACATAGAGCTGCCATACCCTTGTTGACGGAAAATTTAAGACGAAATGTCTTGCAGATGGGCGAAGCCAAGCCGGTCCGGTCTAGCCCTTGTGTGACATGACCTATGGCCTCCGCAAGTATCTTGCAGGAAGATGTGTCCAGGGTATCTTATCAGGATACTGGGATCTGGGATCTGGGATCTTGGAAGGTGAAATTGATTCTTTGCTATATCGGAAGTGAAATCATGATCTTTCTTCAATGAACTAATATGGCACCCGAGTCATCAGCTCGAGATGCACAAACTACCTAGGTACGTGGTGTGAATTACTACATTACGCTATTATAGAAGGCTACACAGATCAGAGGTTTTTGTTCCCAACATCCACTCCACTCTTCTCTCTCTCCGTCCGCTCATGCGAAGAGACAGATCCATCAGGCACGACCCCCATATCCACCGATTCCTCCTCATCCTCGCGCCAAAAGTCCTTCTTGCCCCGAGCGGCCCGTCGCAGCCACGGAGGGAAAAATCCTCCGGGAACCTTATACGACCATGGATCCGACTCATCCTTGTTCGGAGGCACCACCCGACCGAGGGAGCCCCTCTCGACGAGCCAGGCGGTCACATTAATCAGGACGTAACTCAGGATACCGGCAATCAGACCATAGGCAATGGAGTAGGTGAAGGGCATGATGGCGATGGTCAGGAAGGCCGGAATGGCGTCGCCGTAGTAGCGCCAGTTGATCTCGGCGGCTGCTTTGCACATCAGGGCGCCGACAATTACCAGCGTGCAGCCGGTGGCCCAGGGAGGGATAGAGGCGAAAATCGGGGCGAAAAAGATGGCGATGAAGAAGCAGATCCCTGTCACGCAGGAGGTAAGACCCGTCTTTCCGCCCTCAGAGATACCAGCACCACTTTCGACAAATGCCGTCACAGGGGGCGAGCCGAAGAGAGAACCGATAGAGATGCTGATTGCATCGACCATCTGGGAATCGTCGTCAGACTGATTGAAAAACACACTGAAGGAGAGAGAATCATACATAAGCAAGGGCACTACCCTCGAAATCCTGAGTGCGTTCATCGATGGTTCCGGCAAATCGGGCCATAGAGTACAGAGTACCGGTGGTGTCAAGAATATCAACATACTACACGCTTATCAGTCAAATGTGGCGCAGACCTTCAGAACGAGGCCTTACCAGGAAAGTGATAAAGGCCAATCCAAACTGCCCACCATGGCCTGAGAGATTCCATTCCTGAGCAACCAGTGTATTCTTGATGGGATGGAAGGTCACCACCTGCTTGAAGAAATCAAACATGCTGTCACCCAGCTCCGTATGAGGGAAGTAGGTGACCGGCGTGGGTCGCGGCCAGGAAATGATAGAAACCAGCAAGATACCAATGATCACAGCACCCTTGATCCGATACAGCATCAGCAGCGCTGTGAACACACCACCACAAAATATGCCCACCCACATCGCTGGGTTACGCATCTTAGCATCGCTGGGACACATGCCAGTCGTCGGATCGCGCAGAGAAGAGATGCAGCCTGCCAATTCCAAAGGGGTTTCGGTAGACCCCGTTACCAAGCCGATACCTGCGCTGTAACTCAATCCGATAAGAGTGAGGTATAAACCGATACCTGTGCCCGTGGCGAGCTTGATCGAGGCTGGCAACGCACGCGCCAACCATTGTCGGATACCGAGCAGAGTCAAGCCCAAGAAAACGAAACCCTCGACAAAGACGGCGGTAAGAGCAAGACTGTAAGGGATCATGCCGGAGCCGTGGTAACCCACGACAGTGTAAGCGAAATAGGCATTGAGACCCATACCGGGGGCCAGGGCGACCGGCAAGTTAGAGAAGAGACCCATGCAGAAAGTAGACAATGCGGCGATGGCAGCCGTGGCAGTGACGAGGTCGCGCTTGATTTCCTGGACACACAGCAGGTATTCAGTGTTGGTATTACAGAGGTCGGCCTGGCTTTCGGGGGGGCACACACAGGTGCCGCCCGATTCGGAGGTGATGTTGGAATTGACGCTGATGATGTAGGCCATAGCGAAAAAGGTAGCGAGACCGGCGCGAAGTTCCGTGAAGAAGTAGCTACCTTTGCGTTCTCTGGGCTGTCACATCGGTAAGCTTTTCTTCTAAGCTCTTGAACCTAGACCTCGGCAGGTGGAAGTAGAAGTATACTGACATGCCCTGAATTCTCCAGGCGAAACCATCGCCCAACAGGGCTTTGAGCCACCCGAAGATTGATTCTGTCCAGCGCCTGAGTGATCCCCATGATGCGACAGCAAGCAAGAACGAAGCAAGGGAGAGAAAGGCACCAGCCTGAAGCCAGACAAAAAGTCACGGAGGGAAAAACCCGCCCACAATTTGGAGATACGACGCGACATTTATTCCATTCCCCTCCATGACATCCATGACCAACCACGCGACCGATAAGAAAGCGGGTAAAAAATTGGAGAAAAAATTTCTCGAACGAAAGAAAATGATTCGATCAATGGCTTATCTCTGAGGTCAAGAGCTTGGCAGTCCTTGGCAATTTGTGGTTCTGTCCAGTGTGAGGCCTTCGTTCAGCATGGTCAAGTTGCCGATCGGGACGTTGACCTTCGGTGGGTCGAATCAGAAGGCCCGAAAGGACACTGGTCAACGGATGTGTCGGGGTCTCGATGGAGTTGATGGCAAAAAGAGAAAAAAATTGGAAAAGAAGGGTTCTAATCCGTGTGTAGCTTCTCCATGGTTGCACAATAACGGTATCTAGCGGATATCGCCGAGGGAATTGGACAAGGTTTCGTAGATAGTACGGAGGAGTGAGACAGTAGAGGTAGTAAGCTGAGACTGAGCGTTGTTCTCGTATCACTCCGATCTCCTATCTCAAGGTTGCTGGGGTTATCAGCAGTTGATAATGCTTCACTCTGACAGCTCAACGTTTACCATATCACAATGTTTATCATCGACTTGCAGACTTGCAGTAGAGAGAGCATGATTCAAGAGGTCCTTCAGATAGAAAAGCCATTCATCATGTGACATGAGTGGCCTCAGGTATTAACCCTCTCTCCAACACATCTCCTGCTGACTGCACAATTATTAATCTTACCATTATTGGATCAGCATCAAATTCCAGGTCTTAGGTATCACAGTTGTTTAACCTTTTATCAAGCAAGGGATTATATCTCCCAGATCACCCAAAATTCCAACCGCTCGATCCTGCTCTTCCAAATTCCATGGTGCAGTCCCCGACGCTCCAACCCCCGCCCGAACCAGTTTCATCTGCGGGTTTCCCTCCACCAAGTCTTCGTTATGCCACCGCAGCACAGAGGGAGTGTTCATCCCGACTCCTAGCTCCAGGATCACTGTTGATGTCAAATCTGACGACCTTCGCTCCAGAAATTGAGTATATTTCCTCTCCTGTGCTAGGAATGGGGTCTGGTTGAAATAGTTCCCCCCACGCACACACAGCGTCAGTTCCTCACCACAATACTTGCAGTACGGTATCTTGGAAGACTCGGTCAAACACTGCGTGGTGGGGTCGATAAATGGCAGAGCTGCGTCGACGAACGGCTCAGACTCAAAGACAGCATCGCGTCGGCATTTAGCGAGACATTGGAGGTATTTGTATTGACCTTGAGGCGTGGAAACACTGTCTGCGTTGAATCCATTGGCGACGAAAAGCCCATCTGCATTCGAGGTGCGAATGAAACAGTTTGTTCCAAAGCGGTTGGCCAAATCGAGCAACTGCCGGTATAGCGGCGAGGAAGGCCAGGAGCGTACCATGGCCAGATGCTGGAAATAGTATCCCCATTTCTGATTCAGAGACTCCCAACCGTCGAAGCCGAAGACATCATACAATCTACGTAAGCCCATAGGCATAAAAGCAGGGAAGTACTGCTTGAACAAATCCGGGGAGGTATAATCCAACCCAGTGGCGGCCGACAGCCCGGCGCCAGCACTGATGATCAGAGTGTCTGCCTCCTCGATCCATCGCCTTGCCTTGCGGATCGAAGGATGTTTGAGATGCCTTAACTGAAGTGGTTCGAAGGAACTGCCAAGAAGCGACTTTGATTGATTCAAATCTGTGAGTTTCCGACGATACAGCTCCCAGTCACTTTCTAAGAACACATCAAAGATCACATCCGTCAACGATGTGTCCTCATGGTCCTCGCACCAGCCGGTTACCACATTCACAGCGATCTCTACAGCGACCTCGGCCGGGAACGCAAACAGGCCGGTGGAGATGCAACAGAAAGCGACAACCTTTCTGCCGTCTGCTAACGCAGGGAGCTTCTCTGTGGCCTCCAAACAGGACCGATAGCATGCTGCTAATTGCCGCTTCTGTTTTTCCGTGGGCTCTTTTGGTTCGCTTCGTCTGTCCCTCAGTTGTGGACCAACAGTGTGCAGCACGTACTGGGCCGGAAGGTTGAACCCAGGCGTCACTTTGACCGCGCCAACGGGCTCGGGATGGGCTTGTTGGCTCATGAGCTGGTAACAGGCCTCGCGTAGTCGAGGGCCTGCAGCCGGGTGGATGACATTGTCAATGCAACGGTGATTGGGGTTGAAGCAGCCCAGAAGAGCAGAATTCGCGGCGTTGACGATGGCAGTTGTATTGGAAAGGGTTGTGATGTCTCCTTTCCAGAGACGAAGTGTGACATTGCTCTTTGGAAGCAGGAGTGTCGCTGAGATGGTTTCAGAGGGTGTCAAGAGAGAATGGCTGAGTTGGTACTGGAGGATAGAGTCTATATCTTCAAGAACACCTGAAGGTAAAGTCGGACGGGGATGGCGCCGGCATAGATTTGCCTGAAGAGTCTGCATTTGGATCCAAACGTCTGCAGGCAGATCCTGAGAATGGTGACAGTTGCAGCCATGATGATGATCTAGGACTGCTCTCTGGAGATAGGAAATCGTGCGAATGAGCTTGCTAGCATATGACATGTCTACAAGAAGTTCAAATTCCTCTGGGAAGAAAGATTGCTACACTGTGCTTCCTACAACTAGGGGCTACGCGATCTATATATTGCTGAATACAGATACGGAGCTTCGCGAGATTATTCTAGGGCAATGCGATAATTGGTTGTACGCTGTTTGAAATGTTTGAATCTGTGGATGCATGAATGTTTGTCTTGTTTGTTCTGTTTACAGATACTGTTTCAAGCACGTGATCTCGCTTGTATTGTGTCGCTGCATCTATATTGATCATCCTCTTGCAATGTTCCAAATCACTTTTGCTTCCTCTCAATTCAAGGACTCCCTCTCGTTAGAGGAACTATCCCGATTTCTCTTCGAACACAACTGGCGATGGGGCAAACCTACTACGGCGCCTTAGACTGGGACCAAATTTGATAAAAGCCAACGGAATTGGAATCATGATGAAAGACAAGCAGCCTAGTAACGTTCCTGCCCATTGCACTCCGAGATTCGTAAAGAGTTGGCGAGAAAAGAGGGGGAAACCAGCGCCGACAGCTGATCGAAGGATGGTGTTGGCGGCGAAGACCGATGCCGCACTGGTTATCGTTAGCACATGGCTCAAACGCAACAGGTATGTACTCACAATTGAAGGTACGAGTCGATCAAATAGTTAAAGCACTGCAGGAAGATGACATAAATTCCGAATCCTGTAAATACTCCGGAAGCCGTGGGAGCCATCCAGTGGATCGAGCGTGTCCAGCCTGTCCAGCCGTACCAGAACAAGCCGATTGTGAAAGCGATCCCACCGATGATGGTCGGTGGCAGTCGCCACTCTGGAATTGGAACATCGTTGTTATTCCGCAATTTTCGCACATAATTCTTGGCGTCGAGCAAGGTATAGATTCCACCAGCCAACTCGCCCACGATCAGGCCGATGAACGGCAGGCTACCCACGCCCAGATTCAATCCGTGGGTGCGTTGGAACACGACCGGATAGGCTCCGAGCAGTGCATACAGGATTCCGTATATGAAAGACATGTAAATCGTGATGAGGAACACGATGGGCTCGGTCAGAAGCATGCGAAACGGCCGGCTGAAGTTGTTCGTGAGCAGTTCGTTAAGGTCAAGCTCAACCTCATCCTGCTTTGCGTGGATTCCCCAATTGTGTGTCTGACGCCTCAAAGTTGCGGCCTTCTCGACCAGCACCACCGGAGCATATGTTTCCTTGTAGAAGAAGATGAGGAGGACGACACCGAAGAACCCCATGATGGCGGAGATGTACATGGTCCATCGCCAACCCAGATAACTCATTGTGATGAAACCTCCGGTAAAAGGGGATGCGAAGGGGCCAACGAAGACGGCCATTGCAAACATGGCAATCGCTATACCTCGGTGGCTGTTGTTGTACATGTCAGCAAAGGCAGCGGGCACGATGGCCAAGGGACTGGCGGAGAACAGCCCAGCAAAGAATCGAGTGATGAAGAGGGTCTGCGTATCCTTTGCTGTTGCAGTCCCAATGGTGAAGATACTATATCCGAGCATTCCTATCGTGATCGGCCACCGTCGACCGATCAACTCCGAAGCAGGGGCCCATATCGTTGGACCTGCGGAGAACCCGAGGACATAAAGGGTGACACCTAACGTGGCAACTTCTGTGCTGATGCTGAACTTCTCCGAGATGGCGCCGATAGCGGATGAGAAGATGGCGCTGGCAAATGATGCGGTGAAGGTGTTGTAGGCCAGGATGACGGACAGGAGGACCCTTCGTTTGGCAAGCCATTAGCATCGCCTTTCGACTTGAATGTCTCGCATCAGCCTACTTTGTAGAGGTTGACCAGTTATGCGGGTGCATTGGGTCGTCTACTCCGTCAAATCCAACAACGTATTTCTCCGGATCAGGTAGTAAGGGAGGATAGTCCTTCCCGTCGCCAAATGGAAGCCATTCTTCTCGGGGCGCTGGTCCTGCAGAGGAGCCGACCGTTGATCGCTGTGTCAGACGAAGACTCTCAACTCGAGCGAGATCGATATTCGTCTGACGCCGGCTGACAGGCTCCGAGCGGATATCCTCAAAGGTGGGAGCCTCTTCCAGCTCGGAGGTTGCGGAAGAGAGGCTACTTGCTCTTGCATTGCGAGAGGACATTTTGTTCGGCTGCGTGGCTTGCGACTTATGTGCAGAATCCCGGCTTTTTAAATGTCTACATCGCGGTAAAGGTACCTCTGGGAGGTTTCGGAAACTTTGGGACTTGATGCTGTCATCGACGCCGGAGCATCCACGGTTGAGTACAACGGCTCGAAATGCTTATCCACACTTTAGCTGTCATGATCGGGTTTCAGAATGTAGAAGGGACTGAAAATCGGTATTTATTTCAGCACTTCACTGCAGGATGTTGGTTTGTAAGAAGATCAAGTGCCCGAAAGCACTCCCGAGCTTCGTGATAAATGATGTCATCCAAGTCGACCTCGGGTGTTGAAGGCAGCATTATTATTAGGTATTTATGCATTCATGAACAACCCTCTTGGTATTATTATTTATGAATGTTGGTACTAACACCATTGCAAAGCTACATCTTGTTTCCTCAGCTACATTCTTCTTCAGGCTTACCTCTTGGTACTATTTGCTCAGATGGATGCTCCGCCTAGACGCCAAATGCACGACACCCAATGGACTATCAGAGCAGTTTTCTACTTTCCTGTAATGCCGTTGGAAAATGATCGAATAATCATGACTCATCAATCAGACCTCCTGCATACCAATGACTAGTCGGGGCATATAAGCACTAATTCCTAGGCAACATCTTTTGGCCTGCGATGGTCTCAGATGAAGGCGCGCTAGAGTCTCATCATTCCCTTTGCAGGAATAGTGCAATGGCAGTCCCCGTCCAAATGATTACTATCTTGTCGAGGATCTGAATGAGTATAAATATGGCCAACAACCTACCCTGCATGGTGACACGTCTCCCTCGCCTTCATTGTCAGCATTAACATCTGTTTGAAACTCAAATCACAATGGCCCAAGTCCAAGGCAACTGCCATCCGGCCTTCTCCTCTCTCAAAGCCCTCTTTGAGGAGAACCTCTCTTCCGGCGAGGAACTCGGTGCCGACATCTGCGTGGATATCAATGGAGAGACCGTCGTCGAGCTCTGGGGCGGTCACGCAGACGCTGCGCGCTCAAAGCCCTGGACCAGGGACACACTCACGCCCGTCTGGTCCGTCACCAAGATCATCACCAACCTCGCCGCACTCGTCCTCGTCGACCGCGGCCAGCTCGATCCCTACGCCAAAGTCGCCCAGTACTGGCCCGAGTTTGCAGTGAACGGCAAGCAGGACATTGAGGTCCGCCATATCCTCAGCCATAGCGCCGGCCTACCCGCCTGGGATCCCCCTTTGTCCCACGAAGAATTTTTCAACGGCCCTTTGGCCACGGAGAAACTTATCCAGCAACAACCATGGTGGACGCCCGGCACAGCGTCGGGATACCACCTCACTTCCCAGGGTAACCTTGTCGGTGAGGTCGTCCGGCGGGTCTCGGGCAAGTCGCTGGCGCAGTTCATCCGCGACGAGCTTTGTACTCCGCTCGATGCGGATTTCCAGCTCGCTGTCGCGGAGGAGGACTGGCCGCGCACCGCGGACGTCGTGCCCCCGCCCCCATTTGAAGACATGGGCGCTCTCGATCCACAGAGTATCGCTGTCCGCGCATTCCGAGGGAGCCCCGCCGGCGCGGCGGTCAGCATGACGCCTGAGTTCCGTCGCTCCGAGCGGGGTGCTTCGGGCGGTTTCAGCAATGCGCGTGCGATCAACCGGATTGTCTCGATGGTTACGCTGGGTGGGTCGGTGAACGGGAAGCGGTTCCTCTCGCCGGAGACGATCGATTTGATCTTCCAGGAGCAGGTTAGCGGCGTGGATCTGGTGCTGGGGACGTTTCTCCGGTTTGGTATGGGAATGGGGCTGCCGGTGCCGGAGAACAAGGCATTGGACTGGATGCCCCGGGGAAGGGTGTGCTTCTGGGGAGGCTGGGGCGGCGCCATCGCGATCATGGATCTCGATCGCAAGGTGACGATTACTTATACGTTGAATAAGATGGGCTCTGGGACACTGGGGAATCCACGCACAGAGGCGTATGTCAAGGCCGTCTATGCGGCATTGGACGCGTACAGGTCATGATGATATGCTTCCATTGTTGGTGTATGAATTGTATAGCAGTGATCCTGTCATGTAACCTCACCTAGTAGAAATCTCTTCTCACAACCACTGTACAATAGTAATAGTATCGAGATAACTATTAAGGTAGTAATAAATCTTATATATCTTAATATTATCTTCTTCTCTTATTTTCTATAGGTTATACTCCGTAAGCCCAGGGCCTTACAGAGCTTTAGATCTCAGGGAAGGGAGTATATCCCTTAAAATAATAATTTCTAATATCTCTTAGCAGACTAGGGTTATAACTATCAGATTCTACATAATCTAATAATACTAATATGATAGGAATCAGAGCATATAGAGGTTAAACTAGGACATATTCTTACTATGTCCAAGAATGTATATAACAATCTATGTAATAAGTAATATGACTAGAAGATATGTACATTCTGGTCAGGAAAAACTAACTAGAAAAGGAAAACTAAGTGAGTGTAAAATATACAGTCTGATACTACCTAATGATATGATGCTTTAACAGTACCTTAGAGAGGTTGGTCTGCAACAGAAACACTAAACTTCTTACCTATTTCCTGCCAACCCCCTTTCACAACTCCATGGCACACAATGAAATTACCCAACATTCCAAATGAAACTATTCTAGCCATAGCTAGTTTCCTGGACTGTGAAAAAGACATCAGCAGTCTGTCCCAAATCAATAAGATTCTTTAAACAGTCCTCAATCGATACCTCTATCATCGCAATTTCCAGTCTTCAGACTCGTCGGCTCTGCTCTGGGCAGCGGAAAACGGACATCAAGGAGTTGCAGAAAAGGTCCTTCGGGTGGGGGGTGCTGTTGCAATTTGCACAAGAAATTCTGCTGGAGAAACTCCTCTGCTATTAGCTGCTAAACAGCGCCAATTATCTATTGCTCGGTGGCTGCTTGAATATTGTGGCATAGACCCAAATTGTCAGGATGTCTATGGTCGTACGCCCCTGTTCTGGGCTTGCACACAGGGGAATGAAGACATGGTGAATCTCTTACTTAAACAACCATGGATTCAACTAGATTTACCTGACAAGGCTTACACCCGGTCTGAATCACAGAAATTCTACGGTCGAACACCATTCGCGCATGCAGTCATCAATGGGCATGGAAAGATTGTTGAGCGATTGATTAGAGTGGGAGTTGATCCTAACTCAAGGGACCTACTAGGCAAAACAGGACTTTACCATGCTGTTGAGCATGGGAATATACATCTTGTTCGTCTGTTGCTCGCGACTCCTGGCGTAAATCCCAACCTAAGGAACTACAACATTGAGATGGCACCATTGCATTACGCAGCCTGGAAGGGGAACCTTGCCATCGTTGAGCTCCTTCTAGCAGTGGAGGGTATTGACATTGATGTCAAAAATCGGTCTTGGTGGACGCCACTTTTTTGTGCCGCGAGTAAAGGACATGAAGCGATCGTTAAGGTGCTCCTTGATAAAGGTTGTGCTCCAAATCCTCGTGATAGCCAGGCTCTCCAAACACCTTGTACGGTAGCAGCTGTCTATGGCTATGAGCACATAGCCAAGATGATACGTGAAAGGATCCCTCCTACTCCTTGTGAGCGAAAATTCAGGCAAAGATGACTGGAGAACTATTTATCATATAAAGTCACACATGATGCTGACACAGAATCATACCTAGTGATACAATGTAAGAATAGATCTTATAAGATACATGAAGCATATCTCCTTTGTCCTTCATTATAGGCAAGAGCTTTCACGACTCTGAGAATCAACTTACAATAGAGAATGATGCTATTAATTCTTATTTCTAATTCAGAGTCTTAAAAAAATCTGAATGATTTATTCCCTTCATAGCACATTACCCATTAGTGCCCCTTCAATATCATTACCCTGTATATCTAGCTATTTCATATGTACTCAGCAAATCCCTCAGGGAAGCTAATGGGCTCTTCTCCATTATCAAAGTCTTTCAGTACTCACAGGTAACGTCTGTAACTCTTTCGTACTCGCCCACAGGTGTCCGTTGACTGAAACCGGCGCCATCTGGTGACTAAATGAAACAACTCATGAAGAAAAGTCGAGGATACTGGCATGACCTTGTCCAGCTGATCTCCAGTCTTGGGACTCGGCCAAGCTAGTTCATTCGACAGATGTGTATCCAGTCCTTCCCTGTTTATAATCCAGGGGCAAATGGGCACCAATTCTGACGCTGCCGCGTATTCGATAGTCTGGCTGGAAGGTATCTGTTCACCTTCAGGGTGTCCATAGGACGTGCTGCCGGCGAACTCTTTCCCATTATCTGAGCTTCTGCAATTATTATCGCCATTCTTCAACATGAAGACATATCGCTTATGGGATCTCCGCCAGAATGGGCGACTGTCGGGTGCGACTAGATCCTCATAGACTTCTTCCTTATTTTCCACATCCATCGCCTTCAAGGTGTATATAGTATCTATGGCGATACATAAACGCCTTCATGTAGACATCTGGAGGGATGAAGCTGCCAAAGTATATATAATTATTCCTATCTTATATCTCGATGCTATTATCCAGGAGAATTTTGGTATGGAAGGATTCTATTACTACCTTAAGTATAGGTCATAACAAGATCACTGCTATACAGCAGTAATGTTGACAATACAAACGTATCTCACTAACATCTATCATAGTCTCATCATCGCACAAAGTTATCTTGATTGCTGAGTCGTTACGTTCGCGTCCTCCTCCACATTCTCAATAAGATCATGGTTCGACAAGGTCCCCAGCGTCCCATCCGGGACCTCAGCACTGAAAATGTCCTAGTTAGCGCAAATCAGGAGTTCCGAGGACGGGTAGACGAACGTGAAGCCCTTGACCAGTTCAAAGTCTGACTTGATGCTGCCGCCGCTTGAGGTGATGTTGTCTTTCACCCTGGGGTTTGTCAGTGGCATGGCATAGCTAGCATGACAGCGACACTCACTGTTTGATTTGGTCTTCGGTCGCACTTGAGTTCAGGGTGATCTATGAATTACCGTGGCTGTGTTAGAAGATAGTGTTCGCTTAATGGACTTCTTAGACTTGCCATAACAGCGGGCATTTTGACGGTTTGTAGATGAAGGATCGGGTTCTTTCGGAAGATAATTAAAGTGATTTTGGGATGTCTGGATTGCAGAGAAGGAAGTCCAGACTTCTGTTGGCCTTATATAGTCCTACTCCAAAGGAGACAGCCGATCGATGTTATCATCTCCAAAACTGGATTGGATACCGCAGTAGATACTCCGCATTGAGCCATGATATCACTTTACAGATGAGCCGTCCCCCCTCCACCAATGAAACAGATCTTCGGCTATCTCTCCCTTCATTCCATCATCTCCATCGTGCCACGTTCTTCATCTCAGCCACTACTGTCATTGATCGACAAGCCTCAGAATCTCCTCCGCTATCCGTCGATACCCCCTCATCAGCCCCTCGTCATTCTCCCCGGGCTTCATCGCCAGTAATCTCGAGTGCTGCCCAAGCGCCTCAGAGCACTGCCACGTGTGATTCTTGCCCTCAGTCACATCCAGCGCGATCTCGGCCCCGTCTCGCCGTGCATGCGCCACAAAATCCTCAATGTCGTACAGGAATACCAGCTCCTCCGCCCCGGCGGAGACCCACGTTCGGTCGGGGAGAATTTCCTTCCAGGATCCGCGGGCTGCCACGTCGATCGCGAAGTTGCTGTACACTTCGGCGATGTCGGCGGGTGCCTCCCGCATCACCTGCTCGCAGCATTTGTCCAGCGAGCGTTTTAATAGCCGCTCCTCCCAGTGGAGGGCCAGCGCGCGCGGATGTGACGTGTGTAGATTCAACCAGGGGCTGACCAGGATCGCTCCGGCGGGTCTGTCTCGCTGTTTTTCGGCGCCATGTCCATCGTTGGCCCTGTGATATCGCTGGTGAAGACCCGTCAGAAGAGACACGATCAGATGCCCCCCGGCTGAATCGCCAATGACCACGATCTTGGATGCGTCCACGCCTAGCTCCTTGTTGATCCAGTCGTAGGCCGCAATCGCTTCGTCGCGTTGTTTCGGGAACGTCGCTGCCGGGGCGAGGGTGTAGTCGAGGGAGAATATCGCGACCGTGAGCCCATGCCGTTGAAGAAGCTCGGCCATGAAGAGGTGTTCCGGCGCTCCGGCAGACGGGTGGAAGCTCACGTATCCGCCGCCGTGGCAGTGGAAGAGCACCAGATCGGCATCGCGGGGGTGGATCGCCTCGGCTGACAGTCCACGGCAGAGCCAGAAGCCGCAGAACTCTGCCTTGCGAACGCTCTGCTAGATCTGGCCTTTGAGATGCCCGTAGCGGTTCGAGGTGAGCAGGTTCTGGCCGGTTCGGTCGGCAACATCGTCCCAAAGCGATCCGGGCGTATTGTTTCCCAGGCTACAAGACAAGTGACACCGTATGAATATTCATTTAAGCAGAAGCACACACGGTCAAGGACGATGGTTCTGAGGGATACACACCAGGTCATGACATGCCGGAAGATGTGTTCCCTAAGCGGGGGCGGATGATAAGAAGACCAGGGCGCCCAGCGCCGCAAGAGAGTGGTCAAGACGGTCCATGGCACTCGAAAACAAACTGTCACAGCAATTTGAAGATATTCAGCGATGGTGAGTTTCTTGACTGGATTAGGTTCCGGGAAAGACTCCATCGTTGATTATCTTTTCGGTGCGAGAGAACCCACTCCTCCATGAAAACCATGCTGCATCCAATGCTGCCATAATTCTTTATATAGCCTGATATCAACCAGAGTATTTGCATTCAGGCTGAAATCTTAAGTAAATCTGTGCAAGGCGACGGTTCCAGAAGCACTTAGCTCGCTTCATATGTATATAACCATTTTCAGAACGGACTAGATTCCGAAGACCGTCTGGAATACGCCTGCGTTGGTGTCTGAAGCACATATCTGCCTTGCCTTTTCCATATGTTGATTCATGCCACATAACGACTGATCGAGACCACGACGGTCATTTTTCTATGACGCTCGTTTCACGAGGAATTTAGCAGGTGTCAAAATTGCTCAGCAAACAAAGCCCGCGGTGGAATTGCACAGTGCCGACATCCTCACTCGCATCGGTGCTCAAAGACTCCAGATCTGGAGACCATCTTGCGAACTTGTTGGTTCTTCCAGCAGACGCAGAAAAACGGTCTGGGGTTAGCAGCTGTCCGTGTTGAGATACCAGGATCTGGATAGCTGCTTAAGGGGAGGATGTGGAAGGATATCCGGACCATAAGAGGCTGGATAATACTCATCGATCCATTATTTCTGTCAGAATATCACCGGCACAAGATGCAGATCTCAACGAAGCTGCATCAACTATCGATTTGATGCTCTATGCAAGTAAAGGTCCCGGGTCAGGGCTGCCAAACCAAGGTACCATTCATGGGTCTTTAAGGATAATAGGCCAGCCATTGTTAGTCGAGACATTCTGGACATTTGGCGAATCTATCCCCATGTGAATCACGGATAATGTGGACTGACCGTGTTTCTTTCCGACCGGAGGTTGTGATCAATCACCACTGCCTCGGTATAGAGATCGGAGATCTATTACGGCAGACACGAACACATGAAGACCAAACATTGGCTGGTGATCCGTTATTCCTCCACATTATTCGCAAGGCTTGCCAATTCAGGAAATATGTTGTTTGAATCCATGCCGCAGTCAACCGAACCCTTAAGGTAAGATAGAGATCTCGAGAATCGGATATAAATATGTCAACGTTCTATCGCGTTCCACTCGTATGCTGCCTGCCTTCCGCACCAGAACGTCAATTGCGAACCAAGATGACACCCAGACTAGTCCTTCCCCTGCTCAGCGTGTTCGCACTGTACGCCATCTTCTACTTCGCTGAAATCAATGGCTTGCACCGTCTGGGACTTCAAGCCATCGCTGCAAAGACACTGCCAGGCACCAATGAGCCCCTGCGCACCGTCTATACGGGTGTTGCGCAGATAGACGAAGTGCTGGCTGCATTGACCACCTTTTTCTGGCCTGCCACGGATGGCAGTAATCCTACCCTGACGCTGCATTCCATCGCCTTCTCCGGTACCTTTGGTGCTGCTTGGACACTCGTGACTCTGGAGTCGTGGAGATGCGGAAATGCTTGGACGATCGCTGCATTGTCTGTAACCCTCAATCACACTTATAGAATAGAAGAAGCTGATAGGGAGAACCAGTCCCATGATGTTCGGCCTCCTAGCGCAGGTACTCACCTTCGCCTTCGCCACCCCCCTGTACTGCGCTTTCCAGCTATACAGCTCCGTCACCGCGCGCAACCCCAATGCTGAGAACATCCGCATTCCTCGCGCGGTTTTGAATGCCATCCCTCTGGTCTTTACCGTTGGGTTCATGGTCCCTACGTTGCTGATGATCCTGCCTGTTTCGGAGCATGTCACCGTCGATATGAAGCAGATCTTTATTGCCTCCTGGCATCCCTGGCCTGCATACGTTGCGATTGCTCTCACCATACTCAACATTGTCTTCAGCCCGTTTGTGAGCAATGATCGGTCGGTTGAAGGTGGACGCGCGAATCTACGGTCGCTGCGATTCGTCTATGCCTTTGCATTCGCCAACGCTGCCTTGACCCATCTCATCTCGTGGATCGTGTCTATGGCTTCTGTGATTGTGCCCGCCATCTTTGAGAAGCGGCTGTTGGCTGCTTTGCATCCGTTCAAGGTGTTCGAGATTGCCTTGCCCTGGACGGTGCCAGCGTTTCAGGTGAGCGATATCGGGGAGGGCGTACACGTCTTCCTGCGCTGGGATTATCTGATTGGCTCCGCTGGCGTGCTGGTTTGGGCCTTGAGCTTGTATAAGACTGCTCATCTGGTTGTTTATGGCAAGGTAGGATGGTTTGATCTGCTGAAGAAGGTCGTGTTGTTGGTGACTTTGGTCGGGCCTGTGGGGGCTGCAGTCGAGTTGATGTGGGAGCGCGATGAGTTGATCATTTATGAGACGGGAGGTTTGAAGAGGGAGACATCAAGAGGGAAGAAAACTTCTTGATTGTATCTTGTGTTCTGTGGTGGGTTCTTCGACGGCTTGCTCGCCAGTGATGCTAATAAGTACGAGAATTCATGTTCCGGCTTGCTTGGAATACCATCAACAATTCAAACCAGTTGAACTCTTACTGAAATAAAGCCATGGTTGGCACCTCATATATCACATCTGCTGGCCGATAAAGCAGATTGCTGCTGTGAGGTTGTCGGCGTTCCCACAGTATTCTCCACGACAACCAGCGTAGATATACATTCCTGTGACTGTTTCCTGGCCTGAGGCAATCACTTCATGCCACTCCAACAGAGTGACATCTATCATAGAGTGGAGATTATACTACGAAGCGGAAGAGGCTGACTTGTAATTGATACCAGATATTACTTGCCCTCAGAAATCAATTCAACTCATGTGATGATACTCCGTATTCCCTCTCATTCCACAGCTAATTCTGTTTTTTTTTTTTGGTTCTGGTTTATAATGTTAATAATTCCATTTGCTTTCAATCACCCAAGCATGTTAGCTCAGGGGAAGAGCGCCGGGCTCATAACCCGGAGGTCCCTGGATCGAAACCAGGACATGCTATCTGATTTCTTTTTTTCCCCTTCGCTTCCTTTTCAACCACGCAGCTTGACTCTTTTTTTTGGCTGATATAGTACAGGAAAAAAGCTCATATCATGGTAAAACGCGGCAATCGTCTCCTCCACAGTAGATGCATTAAGAACTAGACTATGGCACTTTTCGATCATGTTCTTGCCCAGGGATCGAGCGCGATTATTTTCATAACAATGCTGCGTGGACTACCCCTAAACCTCGTAAAAATCGCATAGTGATTCTCCTTCATGAGGTTACTATTGCTGGCCAGAGCCAGTAGTCACCTTGCTGGGTTCTGCACGAAATTCTACTCGCACATGAAAACACAGCAACCCATGTTGCTTGACCCCTGATCAAAGAAGGTTGATCACATTTCACCTAGCGGATCAGACCGAAGAAGATATCGAATGTCCAATGATATCAGCTGGAGTACCGAGTACCTGAACTGCCAGTGGACCAGCTGTCTTCTGTCATTGAGCATAGTCCACGTAGAACCCAGGCAATTTTCCTTTTTTCCGTCTCATGTCCACTGCTCATGTCCCAAGATTGAATTGGGGACACGGACTAGATCAATCTGCATCGAGTCCTCATTGTAGTTCGTCGCCTGCTTATCGCAAATGATGATTTCGAGTGACACAAAGATAGTCCTTTGTGAAACAAAATCTAGAGATTATAGTAGGTGATTGTTCCAAGTGCTGAGACCGATTTCGACTCCTTCGCTCGAAGAATCGGAATGCTTTTCAAACTCCATCAATTTGACTCCCGAGATTGCTTCACTAGGTGTTGTTTCGCTTTGGTCGTCATGTTCGACTGGCACAAGCCAATGCGCAACTTTTATGTCGATAGTGTGGATATCACGGCCAAACTTAGACCATTTGGTGCACTTGCACCCGTCCTTCTGGCACATATGTCCATGATAGCACTTTAGAGAGCGACACTTGGAACCCTTAGGGCACGGACGCTGCCGCATCATGTATCTCATGACGCTGAGACAGCCGGGGTCGACATCACTAGTACTGTGGTCGAACTCGCAACTAAGGTCACTGCACTCCCCACCAAGGTGGAATTTATTGCATAGTTTGCGTTGTTTGAAACGTCGGTTATAGGTCTCCCACGCCCCCTTAGCTGGCATGGGGCAGTAAGTGTCGATACGATCTCCGTCCTTATTGACGGGAATGAGTTTCTCGGCCTTCGAGTCCATGGAGGGAAGATACTTGGCGTAGTGCCGCACCGTTGACAAAGTCTGTGACGGAGTATCTAACTGCGTTCTAGAAAGTTGTTGACCTGGCATTGTATGGTCCTTAATACAACTATTGCCATATTTGCAGATGCCCTGTATTAGCGACATTAGCTCGTTGCTCGTCTCGGGAGGATAGTCTTTTGACCTAAAATACTTTTTGAAAATGTTTGCAGACTGGGGCCCTAGCAGGCGAAGCAAAAGTGGCAGCAGGAGTAGGAGTAGGGGCTGTAGGTTGACTTTCGCCCAGGGGAGCAGACATGAACACATCTGGCATCTCCCTGATCGGCAAATCCAGTGTTTTGAATTCTGGATGAAAGGAGGCAGCTTTAAGAAGAGTAATCCGATTCCTTTTGCCAATATAAGGAGTCAACAGGGAGAGGTAACCTGTATCATGGCAGCCCGCGAAGAAAATGTGCTTGCACTGACTATTATCGGCAAACAAGCGAAACATCTCTTCTCGTAACGAGCGATTAGTCCTGATGAGCGAAAGTTCCTATATTCGCGAAATCATACCTCTAATCTTGAAGTCCGCGCCCTCTTTCTTGTCGCCTGCGTCGATGAAATCGAACAGATCCTGAGAGCGAGTGAAATTGGAAGTAAACGCCGACAAGGAACGTGCCTCGAAGCCCGCCAGCCCTGCGCGGGCCAGAGTCTTCGACAGGCCCAGGAGGTTGGAGTAGATCCTCACCATTACCCGGCATTGATTTGCCTGGTCCGGGAGTCGTTCCTGCAAAAGTCTTCTGATGGATTCGTTCATGAGTTGAGCGGCAGTGACGCCTCCTTCACTGCCCGCCTTGACCAGATGCTCCTTGAACTTGATACCGTCAG